TGGTTGAGGTCCCGGGGGCCTCGGGTGAGTTTTGGGTGCTTAACGGATCAAATATTGAAATTGAGCTTTAGGAGAAATGGCTGAAGTGTGTTGCATCTGGTGTAATTGCACATGCGCAAGGTTGACCGCAAGTGTGAGCCCGCAGAAGCGAGCCATAGGGAGAAGGTGCAGATTGGAAGAGTTTGGTCTGTGGGCGCAGGTGCGAGAGAGGGACCGCAGAAGCAGAGTCGCTTCTGCGGAAGGTGGAGCACAGAAGCAGAAGGCCTGGAGCTGGATGGTCGTAGATGCGAATAGGATTCCGCAGGAGTGGGTGCGCGGGTGCGCATACGCGACCCATGTGTTGCAGATGCAGATTTTAGACCTTAAGTGAAGTCCACACATGCGATGGTTTTTCCGCAGGTACGGTTAAGGGCTCGCAGAAGAGAGTTTGCTAGGCAGAAAAGAGAGAATTCGAGGGTTTGATTTCATTATCCATTTTTGGACCTAGAGAGCTCGGATTAAGGCGAAATTTCGAGGGATTTTCAAAAGAAGCTTGTGGGTAACGATTCTTAACTCGTTATGGTTATATCCCACTAATCTATGGTTAATTTCATCATTTTAATTAAGGATTTGAGTTGGAAATTTCGGGGAAATGGTAGAAACTTCGTAGACCAAAATTTCGACTTTTGGAAGGCGATTTGAGGTCAGATTCGAGTAATCCTCGTATGGTTAGACTCGTTAGTGAATGGGTGTTCGTATTTTATGACTTTTACCTGATTCCGTGACGTGGGTCCGGGGAGGATTTTTGGGCTTTTTTCCAATTTCTTACCTTAGCTTTGATTTTCGTTAGCTAGATTAGTTCCTTGTAGCTATAATTATGTTATGTAATTTGGGCCATTCGGAAACGGATATTCATGGAAAGAGCATTGTGACGGATTGATTTGAGCTTGGTTCGAGGTAAGTGGCTTTCCTAACCTTGTGTGGAGGGACTCCCTTTAGGATTTGGTACTGTTTGATATATGAGAGTCGTGTGCGTGAGCTGACAAGTGCGTACACGGGCTATTTATTGAAAAACTCCATTTTCATTAAGTAAAATATATTTATTCCTTTAACTGAACTACACTAGCATATGTAATTATCCTATTTAGTTTAGAACAGCATATCTACGTGTCTTAATTGCTTACCTGAATTATGTGCAGCATGCTTAGTGAATTTCCTGCTTCTTTGTTAACTGGACTTAGTCTAAATTGTAGGATTTCGCGTTGAAGTTGTAATTCTATTGTTTGCACTGCTTATTTATTTTGTGACTACGGAACGGTATTCCGGGAGATCCCCCAGCACTGTATATTTACTTTGGGACTACAGAACGGTATTTCGGGAGATCCCCATGTACCGCTTATTTACTTTGGGACTACGGAACGGTATTCCGGGAGATTTCCCTACACATTTACGTTTGGCACTACGGGACGGTATCCCGGAGATCCCCTCTTGCTGTTACTGTGTTTTGAGCTGTTGACTTCCATTGAGTTCTATTCCTGTTAGGTTTTCATATATATTTCACTGTAATATTTCCTTCTGTATTATTTCATTATATTTATACCAGTAGGGCCCTGACCTGATCTCGTCACTACTCGATCGAGGTTAGGCTTGGCACTTACTGGGCACCGTTGTGGTGTACTCATACCCCTTCCTGTACATATTTTCCGTGTGCAGATCCAGGTACTAGCTATCAGCCTCGAGTCTAGCTGTGTGGTCGCAGCTTCAGGAGACTTCAAGGTACATCTGCCCGCGTCCGCAGACCTCGGAGTCCCCTTCTATCCCCTATGCTCATTTTCTTCTTTTTCCGTAGAAATGATGTATAGAACAATTAGGACTTCTTAGAAGCTTGCGACATTGCGACATTCCGGGTTTTGGGAAACATGATTATTGTATATGCCGAGTGGCACCGTTTTCGTTTATTAATCATAACTGTTAGCTGTGATCCTTGTGTTTTCATTTCATTTTCGCAATATTAGGCTTACCTAGTCGTAGAGACTAGGTGCCGTCACGACAGTTCACAGAGGGAGTAACTAGGTCGTGACAGACACCAAGCCGAAGGCGAATCCAGGATTTAAATCTTATGGGTTCAACTTTTAACTTTTTTAGCATTGAACCAATTATATTTTTCTAGTTATGGGTTCATATCTACTGATTTTTGTAATTAATGAATATTTACGCATAAATTTTTACTCCGCGTCAAAAGTTATGGGTTTAGTGGAACCTGATGATACTACACCACATCTCCCACTGCATCAAGATCCATTTTTGGCCATGGCAGAGCTCTAAATTGGAGAAGCCATGCCCCCCCCCCTTTTTTCCATAAATCAACACCATCCATTTGACAATGCTCGGGATAGTGGCACGGTGGTTTTGAGGCGGTTGTTTATGGCGATGGAGACTTTAGGGGCTACAAATCGATAAAAACAAAAAAAAACAATATTTTTTATACAACCGGTCAGTTTCAACTACAAAAAAATGATGAATACCAGATTTAACGAAAATTTATAAGCATTGATTTTCTCTAAATTAGTGTTCAAACTTTAACACACTGATTTAAAACTTATTTGAAAACAGTGTAACAAAATTAATTTATTCATTTCAATTGCACATAAGAAAATAGAAATGCATATTTGTTTCACTAAAAAGACAGAACACATCTATTGATTTTCCGAACCAGAAAGCCAGCATATGGCTCTGATACCAATGAAGGAACGCGATAAATCTAAACACATTAGATTGCACGTAAACCATAAACAAAGAACTTACTTGTTCTTCGTAGCGGAAGCAAAAGTGGATAAACATGGCTGGAATTACTAGTCAACGGTGGTTGTCACGATGTGTTGGAGCAACCCCCAATCTAAACCCTCGTTTGGATTGAGAGAGAGAGAGAGAGAGAGAGAGCGAGAGAGAGAGAGAGAGAGAGAGAGAGAGAGAGAGAGACCGGGAAAAAATATTGCTCAGATTATCTTTTATTGTACACAATAAGTGTACTTATATAAGGAATACTAAGGTTAACTAATAACCCTATTAGGCCTTAAAGCACCCATTATGGATGGATCCAAAACTTCCTACGTACAGAGGAGCCAAAAAGGAGAATGAGATAACTGAACAGAGGATCTATAAAATTAACTAGACCAAGCACTTGGTTGCTTTGGTAGAAGAGCAAGCGGGTAGAACTAAAGAGAAAGAGCTGCAGATTACTATTTGCTACTGCTAAATTAAAAAAATTAAAGAACCAATGGATTTCAGTCCAATCTTCCTTTATTTAAGTTCTCTTCTTCCTTTTGGTTTCAAGGTGTTTCGTTGTGATTGAGTTGAATTTGCCTTTATTTATTTATTTCTGTGTGATATGATGCGTTATTTTTATCTGTATCCAGGTTGATGATTCCTCTCCATAAACTATGTATAAAAATATTATATTTCTTTAAAATTACTTAAATATATATGCGCGAACCCATGCTCAAAGACTCTTACGATGCAATTATTCTTGGGTGCACCTCTACAAGTAAAATTGGCAGTTCAAATTCCACTCTAAACGGTCTTGATTTCGGCACGGAGTATAGATATATATATGTGAAAATTACTAAAATTTCAAAAAGAATACAATTTTGAACCTATAATTTCAAAAGTATAGTGGGTTCATGGTAAGAGACTAAAGTTAAACCCATCAAATACAAATTCTAGATACACTTCTTTACAACAGTGCACCCATCCTCCTGAATTCCAAGATACAGGGGCGGATCTACAGTGATAGGTATGGGTTCCCGGGAACCCAGTAGCTTTTGTCTAGACCCTGTATTTATATTAAGAAATCTATTAAATGTATAAGAATTTTTATGTAGGAACCCAGTAACAAAATGTCTTGCTGGTTCAATGGTAAGGTGCGGAACCTATACTGATTTTCCCAAAACCCACAATGCAACTTCGAATCCCATCAGCTTACTTTAGTTTTTCCCATATATTTTGGCACAAAGTTTTATGTATTTTCGTTACCAACTTTTTTAACTTTGCTATGTTTATTTAATTAAAATAATAAAAGGAAAGACTTACTAAACTAAAAGGTGTACAAGTCAACATCGGCAAAAAAAAGATTTCCTTTTCCTTCCCAATTCGGCAATTCCGATTCTCAACTCAAACGTTCAAAGGAAAATTAGGTTTTACAATTTCACATTATTTCTTCTGTTCTTCACTGCCTCTGTTTTAACAGGCAGGCGGCAACCACTCAAAATTAAAAGCTAGTTTTAACTTCTTCACTTATTTCCACTCCATTGCAACAGGTATTTTGATTTCCTTCCTCCTCTTTCTTCTTTTTTTATTGTTTTCTTAGTTAGTTAGTTATCTTGATATCTAAGAGAAAAAATCGAAAAAAATACAGTGCAATGTTTAATTTGTTGCTTATGATTTATAGGATATTTTAGTAAATATGTCTTCAATCATCACACCTACATAATATGTTGGATTTGAATCCTCTTGAACGCGATTCCGGTGAAAGAAAACAAATTTCAGAATATCCTCCTAATTTACGTGATCGAGTGAGAAGGCATTACATTGGTTTGATTTTCAAATTGGTGGAAAATTGCGTCATTTTAATCCTGAATGGTTTAAGACTTCATATTCTGAATGGTTAGAATATAGTATTAAAAAAGATGCAGCATTTTGCTTATGTTGTTATTTGTTCAAAAATGAGATTGGCGGATATGGAAAAAAAGTCGGTGATTCTTTTACAATAGATGGTTTTAGGGCTTGGAATAAAGGTATAGAAAGGCTTAATGCGCATGTGGGTCAAGTGAGTAGTGTTCATAATCGATGTTTTAAGATGATGTTAGATTTAAAGAATCAAGGACAATCTATTATAACTTCTTTTGACAAACAATCCGAGAAAGCTAAAAGTGAGTATCGAGTTCGCTTAAATGCCTCAATTGATGTTGCAAGGTATCTTTTGAAAGAAGGAATCCTTTTCGAGGTCACGGGAAAATGATATCATGATTTGTCCAAGTGTACAAAAAGACATTGTGAGATCTTGTGCAAAAGAAACATTAAAGGCAATTGTTAAAGACTTGAATGGTGATTACATTGGGATATTGGTTGATGAATCTAAGGATGTCTCTCATAAAGAACAAATGGTGCTTGTTTTGCGTTATGTCAATAAAGAGGGTAAAGTTATTGAGAGATTTCTTAGCATTGTTCATGTTAAAGATACATCTGCAAAGTCATTGAAAGAAGCAATTTGTTATTTGCTTTTGGAACATTCATTGAGTAAATCTCAAATACGGGGACAGGGCTATGATGGAGCTAGTAACATGCAGGGAGAAATTAATGGCCTTAAGACTTTGATTATGAATGATACTCCTTCGGCATATTGCATACATTATTTTGCTCATCAATTGCAATTGACGCTTGTGGCTGTTGCAAAGAAACATTATGAGGCAGAATAATTTTTTGATATTCTTGCAAATGTTTTAAATATTGTTGGAGGTTCTTTTAAGCGCAGGGAGATGCTTCGAGATGATCAAGCAGAAAAGCTGGAGGAATTACTAATGCTTGGTGAAGTTCATACAGGAAGCGGATTAAATCAAGAACTTGGACTTCAAAGGGCAGGTGATACTCGTTGGGGTTCTCATTTTAAGACAATGCGTAATTTTATTAGTTTATTCTCATCAATTGTTCATGTGCTTGGAATTCTTGCAATTGAGGGTTCAAATTATTCATGAGAGATCAATGGCAAAAAGTCTAGTGGATGATATAAGATCATATGAGTTTGTGTATATGTTTGCATTTAATGTTGAAAGTGTTGGCACTTACATATGATTTAAATATGGCTTTGCAAAAAAAAGATCAAGATATTGTAAGTGCCATGAAGCTTGTTGGTTTTGCAAAGAGACAATTGCAAGTTATGAGAGAATCAGGATGGAATTCTTTGGTAGAAGATGTCTGTTTATTTTGTGTCAAGCATGATATTGTAATCCCCGAAATGGATATGAACTATTCTCGTGGAAAGTCGAAGCGTAAGAAATCAAGTGTTACATATTCTTATCATTTGCGTGTAGAGATTTTCTATACTATTATTGATTTGCAACTTTCGGAGCTTAACAGTCATTTCAGTGAAGTGAATACTGATCTACTTCTTGGTATGGCTAGTTTGAGTCCAGATAATTCTTTTGCAAATTATGATAAAGACAGGATTATGAAACTTGCAACACACTATCCAAATGAGTTCATTAATTCTATGCTTGAGGATCTTGGTTTTGAGCTTGACATCTATATTGGCTATGTGCGAGAGGCGGGCAATGAATTCTCTAACTTGAAAAGCGTTGGAGATCTTTCAGAGACAATGGTTAAAATAAATTTGCACATGACTTGGAGGCTTGTTTATTTGCTTGTGAAGTTAAGTTTGATATTGCCTGTCGCTACTGCAACGGTAGAAAGGCTTTTTCTTCGATGAAGTACATTAAAAGTGACTTGCGAAGCAGAATTGGTGATGAATTTTTGAATGATTGTTTAGTTTGTTATATAGAGGATGAAGTATTTGAAAATATACCTAATGATGCGATCATTGATCATTTTCAAAACATGACAAGTCGCCGAGTACAATTGTAATGAAAATATTTATATTTATATGTTGTCTTTAAGTATTTTGTTATTTTGTAAATATATGTTGAATATTGATACTTGTTTCTTAGTTCGGCTATTATGATACATTGACTTGAAGTTGTGGTAGGAACCCATACACTTCAATTCCTAGATCCGCCTCTACCTAGATACGCCTCAGTGTTTATGTACTTTGCCTTTTTCTCTGTGTCAAATTATTGATGTTTGCTATAACTATGAAAATTTGAAGGCGATTCTTGAAGATTATTTATTATTGGCAAAATAGCCTCATGGCCACTTAAACTTGCGGATTGCCAATTCAGTAAACTAACTTATAAGTTTTCCAATTTAGCACATTTACTTTACAAAGTGAGGAGTAATAAACACCTCTGACAGTTGACTATGCATGCGTGGAAGAAACATTGCTGACATGGCCAAACTACGTGCAACTCACACTTAAATGGCGCGTGAATAGTAGTTATATAAAAAAAATATTTAAATAATAACAAAAGATTAAAAAAAAAGAATTAAAACAATTTAAGACCCCAACACCTTCTTTAATCTCCTACGTTCCCTGCCTCTCCATCTCCGTCGTTCCCACCCACTCACCTACACCCCCCCCCCCTTGCCCCATTCTTTCTGTTTCTTACCCCATTGCTCACCCCAACCTTTCCTCCCAACCCCCTCTTCATTCTTTTTGTTATTATACTTTGGCTAAAAAGGAATTAGAGCTTCTTTTTTTAATTGAGTATAAACATCTAGAGAGAAGAAGGTAACCCATAATTAACTCGATTTTCGGCCAGAAGAAAATTGTATCGATTCTTCAATCTGGGCATTGCTCCGATGGCGATGGTTGATTTCATTATGAAGTTCTGGAGAAAAAAGGCTCTCATCTTCACATTTTAAGTGTTTGGAGTATGATTTTTGTCAATGAAGGGGGTGATGGTAGTTTATGGCCGAGGTCGCTATTAGAAGCTTTCTGATATGGTCGCCGCAGAGTAAAATGAAATTTCTGATCTTTTTGTTGGTTTATGATTCTTGCTGGTCTTAGTTGTGGTGGAGGAGAAGAGGGGAAAAAATATGTTAAAAATTTGATAAACTGAAATAAAAAAATGGGACCTACAAATTACACATGTCAAATTATAAAAGGTTAAAGGTATGACATATCATTTGTGTTACCGCATTGAGAAACACGCTCATACGGGTGTGTCTATTACTCCTCACTTTGTAAAGTAAAGGTGCTAAATTGGGAAACTTATAAGTTGTTTATCGGGTTGGCAATTCGATGTAAGTTTAAGTGGTCAGGAAGTCATTTTGCCTTTACTATTTTGTAGCACTAATTTGTGAGCTTGAATTCCTCTAGAATCTAGATAAACCATTGGTGTTCCATGTCCTTAAAGAATGTTATGGGCAATGTCAATATTAAAATTGCCGCCAATCGACTAGAGTTCAAATTCCAGGATAGACAAAAGAACGCTACTCCCTTCGGTTCAAAATAAGTAATTTTTTGGATGTTTTCACACAAATTAAGAAATTCACTTGTTAGCATTAATTAGCAATGGAATTGACCATATTAACCTTTATTATCTCACATAAACACTCTTAACACATATTCCAACACCATTTACTTCAAGGACAATGTAGGAAAAAAATAATTATTTCATTCTTGAAATCTGAAAAAATCACTTATTTTGGACCACAAGAAAAAAGCCAAAAAATCACTTATTTTAGACCGGAGGGAGCAAATAATATCTTTATATCGCTTAAACCTCGATAGATAGAGAAACTCGATACTTGTGCTGGCAGGACAAAACAAAAACACTAAGGACTATTCCGTCATTAGAATTTGAAAGCAGTAATTATATCTTCTTTAATTTCTGAGACGCAAGCAGAAACACGTACACCCTTTAGACCAGCATGTCAAAGGAAGATAATGGTAAAAATTGCACGGGCGCCCTATTTGGGCGCCCCTTTTTAATCTGTAGCCGCTTTGTCTTTTTGTTTGTACCCGTACCCACTTTTTAAAAAACTTCAGCTTCCCTTTCTCCTCCCCTTCTCCTCTTCTTCTTCTTCTTCTTCTTCTTCTTCTTCAATACCACAGTTCTTGCTCTTCACTGTAGTTAGTGTTTGAGATAAGCCTTTACAAATAGATTCTTAAACATGATATTTCAAGACTATCCGCCAAAAATTGCTAGATATTTCCATGTAATTCCTTTGATGAATGTACAAGAAGCAGTACAAGAAACAAAGACAAAAACTTCAGCTCTCGAGCTGAAGTTTCCTAGTTACAACATAGAAACTTCAGCTCTAGAGCTGAAGTTTTTATTTTATAACCGGCAAACTTCAGCTGTAGAGCTGAAGTTTTCCGGTTACAAAGACAAAAACTTCCGCTCTAGAGCTTAAGTTTTTATTTTATAACTGGAAAACTTAACCTCTAGAGCTTAAGTTTTTATTTTATAACTGGAAAACTTAAGCTGGAAAACTGCTTAAATTTTTATTTTATAACTGGAAAACTTAAGCTCTAGAGCTTAAGTTTTTATTTTATAACTGGCAAACTTCTGCTGTAGAGCTGAAGTTTTCCGGTTACAAAGACAAAAGCTTCAACTCTAGAGCTGAAGTTTTCCAGTACAAAAGAAAAACTTCAGCTCTAGAGCTTAATTTTTTATTTTATTACTGGAAAACTTAAGCTCTAGAGCTTAAGTTTTTATTTTATAACTGGAAAACTTAAGCTGGAAAACTGCTTAAGTTTTTATTTTATAACTGGAAAACTTAAGCTCTAGAGCTTAAGTTTTCCGGTTACAAAGACAAAAACTTCAGCTAAAGTTTTCCAGTACAAAAGAAAAACTTCAGCCCCGTGGGCTGAAGTTATGTGAAAAAGCGGGTACGCTTGCAATTTTTTTTGCAAAGCGAGCACAAGTTAAAATGTGACACAAAAAACGAGTATAGATGCAAATGCCCCAAGATAATGAGTCAAAAATCTCAATTTGAAAGGACACTACATCTTGGCATTTAGGCCCATTTGTTACTGTAATATTCCGTTGGCATCTTTTCTCAAGCAATGATTTTACAGAAATGTTATTCCATTTACGCACTAAAACCCAAAGCTACACTTGAGGTTTTCTTCCATACAGCTATCTTATGTACAACAATCAATCCTAGCCTTTGAACCATGGAATCTGTCATACATATATACAACTATACTATTTAGTCCAATTTTATATAAAACAAAATTAAAATGTCCTACAAGCTCTTTGTATTTTCTACTTGGAATATAAATTTCTGACACGACTAAGAAACGCATAGAAACCATTGGACTAAAAGAAAATATACTAACAAGATTAAAAACCTAATGCCCACTAATTGACATCGAATACATAGTTATTTTTCTTCCACTGTGCCTTGTTTCCTTATAGGTCTGCTTGGATTCTAAGAGATCGTATGTTTTTCCAAAGTACTTCTTTTTACGTGGTTTTAAGCTTACCCCATCTTCTTATAGTAACACTTTCTGACTCGGCATAATTTCATACCTACAATCAGGGGCGGATGCAGATTAATAGTACCGGATTTATTTGAATTCGGTATTTTCAATACGGAGCATGAATTTATGTGTAAATATTCACTAAATTAATAAATTATAGATATTAGCCCATAATTTAAAAATATAACGGGTTTAATGCTAAGAACTTTAAATATTGAACCCTTCAAATTAAAATCCTGGATCCACCTCTGGCTAGTGTGTGTTGCATTTGAAGATCAACTTAGGATATGACCAAATCATCTCCTTCAAATTGTAGAAGAATGAGGAATCTCTACTTTAGTATTGTATCATTACTGTTGCATGCATAAGAAAAAGTGAGGAGCAAAAGTACAGATTGCATAATGTAGACACACATGCATGGCAAAGACCCTACTTATACTACTACTTGATTTAGACCTTACTACTTAACTATATATGTCAAATCAGTCACATGGCTCTTTCAACTTGGAAAACTCATTCACAGTTTTAACCACTTGAGGCATTAGCTTTTGTTACTTTTCAGTACTGAGAATTTTCTATGATTGATTGCTATTGGGTTTCAGTAGTCAAATTTGACCACATTGTTGTCCAAATAAGGTAAGGGAATCATTTTCATAAGAATATTAAGTCCCATATTTCAGATAAACTGAGGATACTTTTCCCCAAGTACAAAACAAAAATGTAATTACCACTTATACTTATTCCATATGTTTATGTGTTTATAACTTGAAAATCATTAAATTAAGGCGTGTGCCATCGCTAGAAAATCATTAAATTAGCCGTGTGCTATCACTTCGAAAATTATTAAACTTGGGTGTATGATATAGTGACTGGAAGTCATTTTTTATGAAATGTTTTTTAGAAAAATATTTTCTTAAAAGTTATTTTCTACTGTTTGGTTGGTGAGTGAAAGAAAAAAATTCAAAAATATATATATTGAAGATGAATGATAATATTAACGAATAGCAAATCGGATAGTGTTTTTTTGTTAGAAAAACCAGAGATAGAGAAAAAACTACAAAGAGAATGAATGATAACTCATTGCATTAATTCAAAATAGAAAAGTACATCACTATTTATAGGGAAACTAAAGGAAATTCTACTATTAAAGTTAGATACTATACTAGAAGGAAAATAATACTCTGTAATATCTGTAAATATACTTTAACATTTGACTAAATTTTTATTAAAGATTGAAAATGATTTTTGGGTGATGGTTGAAGTAGGTGATTGACAGAATAGGAAGAGGATAGATTGAGAAAATTTTCTTTTCTGTATTGAATGAATGAATATAGTGTTGTACAGAACGTTGTTTATATACAACAAGAATGGACTCTTCAAAATAACTACTTATGCTACGTGTCCCTAATTTATTAGCTAAGCTATAACAAACTAAAGGATAAGTGCAAATAAGCAAAACAATATTTACAATCTAAATCTGAAAGACTTCTCTCTACAGCTTTCTCATAGGCCCAAGACAAAAAAGGCCCAAGACGAAAAAAGGCCCAACACAGAAATGAAATGGCTGGAGCCCAATTTTCCAAACCCATATTATGTTGTATCATTCAGACATATCTATCTTCAGACAAGAACTAACCTAATCCCTTTTCCTTAGAGACTTTGAGAACCTTCTCCATTAAAACTCCAGTGTTGCCATTTTCAGCTCCAACACCCCTTCTCAAGTTGGAGAGAGATGAAATTACTCCCAACTTGCCCAATAATCGGTGATGAAAAGGGCCAGTAAGAGGCTTTGTGAACAAATCGGCGAGCTGAGAAGAGGAGCGAACAAATAATAGTGAAATCAAATCTGCCATGAACTGCTGACGAACAAAATGACAATCAAGCTCTACATGCTTCGTTCTTTCATGAAAGACAGGTTTTTTTAGCTATATGAATCGCGGCTTGGTTGTCAGAGTGAGGAGGGACCGGAAGGGATATTGGAATAGACAAATCATCCAAAAGCCTGACTAACCAGGTAAGCTCTGCGACTACACGCCGCATGGATCGATACTCAGCTTCTGTAGAGCTGAGAAAAATTGAGGTCTGCTTCTTGGATTTCCAGGAAATAGGAGAAGATCCCGGCGAAATGTAGAACCCACTGACAGATTTGCGCAATTCTGGGCATGTGCCCCAATCAGAGTCACAAAAAGCCAGCAACTGATACGAAGGGGAAGAAGTCATGAATAAACCAAGACCAGGATCCTTTGATAAATATTGAAGGACACGAAGGGCTGCTTGCATGTGAGGAACTCGTGGATCCTGCATATATTGGCTTAGATGTTGTACAGTGAAGGAAAGGTCAGGTCTTGTATGAGTTAAATAGTTCAACTTTCCCAACAAATGGCGATACAAGGTCGGGTCTTTGATAGGAGCACCAGTTTTGGCCAACAATTTGATAGTAGGATCAAGTGGACAAGAAACATATGGCTTGTGAAGACAATCAAATTCCAGCAACAAATCGAGAGTGAATTTTCGCTGAGTTAGAATTAGTCCCTCAGATTCACGCAGTACCTCCATTCCAAGAAAATAATGTAAGTTCCCTAAATCCTTTATTTTGAATTCCTGATGGAGAAAAACTTTCAAAACATGTAGCTCCTCTAAATTATTTCCTGTCAAGAGTATATCATCGACATAGACGGCCACTAAAGAGATAGAGGAGTCAGACCTTTTAAAGAATAGAGAATAATCATCGAGAGAATGGGAGAAACCTTTAAAATTAAGAGTTGTTGTTAATTTAGCATACCACTGTCGGGATGCTTGACGAAGCCCATAGAGTGACTTCTTTAACTTGCAAACATGTGTAGGAGAAGGAGGGGTGAACCCAATTGGAAACTTCATGTACACCTCTTCATTTAAATCCACATGCAGAAATTTATTATTCACGTCTAACTGAAAAATTCCCCAACCTTTCTTAACTGCTGTAGCTAGAATACATCTGATGGTGGTCATTTTTACCACTGGGAAAAATGTTTCAGTGAAGTCTATCCCTTCTTTTGGAATATCCCCTCTAACTATAAGTCTAGCTTTGAGCCTTTCCACACTTCCATCAGAGTTATGCTTCACTTTATACACCCACTTGCACGGTAATGCCTTTCTACCAGGAGGTAATTCCATGACCTCCCAGGTGTGATTGAGCTCAAGTGCCTCTATCTCTCTTTCCATTGCTTCCTGCCATCCTGGGTGATGAGCTGCTTGGGTATAGCTGGTTGGTTCTTAGATAGTGGATTGGGAATTTAAGAGATGTTGGTTGGATGTAGATAGGTTATTGAAAGGAAAACTAGAAGGTGTTACAGGTGATAGGAAACAAGAACCACTTACATCAGTCAATTGAATAGCATTGCAAATGTAGTCCTTGAGGTAAGGGGGAGGGTTGTGTGGCCTTGAGGATTTTCTAATAAGACTATCCAACATGGGTTCGGTAGCTGAAGGTGAAGCAGTAGGAATATGAGAGTGAGAGATAGAAGAAGAAGATGGTGTAGGACTGGAAGGTGGAAAATCAGGAAAGTTTTGCACAGGAGGATCTTTATTAGGCAGTTTTGAATGTTCAGTAGCAGGTTGTGGTAAATCAGGGGAGAAGGTAGGAGAACTGGATATTGGTGCAGTAGGTAAAAAAGAGTCAGTTGACCCCTTGGATGTGATGGAGGAAAAAGGGAAGAATTCTTCATGAAAAACAACATCCCTAGAAACAAAGGGCTTTAGAGTGCTAAGATCGAGAACCTTGTACCCCTTCTTTCCATGTGGATAACCCAAGAAAACACAAGGTATAGCCCTTGGTTGGAACTTTGTTCTGTGATTTGAGAGAGTAGAAATAAAACATAGACACCCAAAACACCTCACATTAGAGTAACTAGGTTTGGATTTGAAAAGAATCTCATAGGATGTTTTGTAAGAAAGAACTTTGGAAGGAAACCTATTGATCAAGTATGTAGCAGTTAGAACACAATCCCCCCAATAAGCGATAGGCAATTTTGATTGGAAGAGCAAGGCTCGAGATGTCTCTAAAAGATGCTTATGTTTCCTCTCCACAACCCCATTTTATTGTGGAGAAGCTACACAAGTAGTCTGATGCACTCTTCCCTGTGAAGAAAAAAAATTAGACTGCAGACTCCCACTCCCCAATTCAAAAGCATTGTCTGACCTTATTGTCTTGACCTTGGTATTGAACTGTCTTTCTACCATAGCCAAAAATGACTTAAGAACTGGAAATGCATTTGATTTTGTACTTAGTAGATAAGTCCATGTTCCTCTACTGTAGTCATTAACAATTGTAAAAAAGTATTTGTAACCATCATAAGTTTGGTTGCTATAGGGCCCCCATGTGTCTATGTGAATTAGCTCAAAAACTTTCTTTGTGGAAATAGAACTAGTGGGAAAAGGGAGTTTGGACTGTCTAGCCATAGGACAAACAACACAAGGCACAGAAAACTTTGAACAAGAAGAAACAGGAATAGTAGATATATTTCTCATATTACTCAAAGGAATGTGACCCAGTCTATAGTGCCACAATTTTTCTTTTACATAGTGATCTGAAGAACTGAAACAAGAAAGTAAAACTGGAACAGATTGTTTGTCACTGAAACTCTTTCTAGATACAAAACTACTATTGGAAAGTAAAAAACTCTTGGGAATTGCAGCTGTTGGCCTTGATTGAAGAATGTAGAGACCACTTCTCTCCTTACCAATCTCCAGATAGCTCTTCAGAGAAGGGCCTTGCAAAAACAAGAAGTAGAAGTAAAAAAGAGTGGATTACTAAGCTGCTTACATAATTTGTGCACAGATAGTAGATTGTACTTAAAAGAAGGTATATACAACACATTGTGTATTACCAGATTAGAGAAAAGAGCTACAGATCCATAATGAGTAACTAAAACTTTCTGAGAATTAGGAAGATTGACTATTCTAGGCTTGATTAAAGGCTTGAGATCAGAAAAAAATTCTTGTTATAAGACATATGTTCTGATGCACCACTATCTAGTATCCATGAATGACTGTTGAATTGAAAGAAACATGCAGGTGACTTAAAGAATTTGAGTATACCAGCACAGTTTGCACTTGCAGTACCATCAGAAGTACTGCCTCCTTGCTGTCCCATCTTCAACTATTGAAGAAGCTGAAGTAGCTGAGTTACATTCTCCTGGGTAAGTGATTTTCCTTCTGAGATTCCAAATCCCTGTCCTCCTTCTTCATTTGAGATTAGAGCATTGTTTGCCTGGACTGGTCCCTAAAATTTCCTTGGCTTTGTGAATTTGAAATCTGCAGGAAAACCATGGACCCTATAGCACTTATCAATGCTATGTCCTAGCTTCTTGCAGTAAGCACAAATCCCTGAATTCTTCTTTGCATCATAGGACCCCTTCTGTCCTTTGGAATCACCAAATTTCTTCCCAGCTGCTTGGTTTGTTACCATGAAGGAACCAGACTCCCCTGGGTAGGCAGGTACAGCATGAATTTCTCTTTATTTTTCATTTTGTATGACCAAAGAGTATGCCTGCCCAATGGAAGGTAAAGGAGATGACAACAATATGTTGCTCCTAACTCCTATGAAAGTTTCATTTAAACCCATAAGAAATTGCAAAAGTCTCTCATCTTGATGAGCCTTCATACTCTTTGCCTTAGCCCCACAATCACACTCACACACACAAGCAGAAAAGGTATTAAGTGCATCTAGCTCATCCCATAATCCTTTCATCTTAGTAAAATAGGTTGAAACACTCGAGTTACCTTGCACCACAGCACTTAGTTCTTTTTGTAGCTGAAACAACTTTGCTCCACTTGCCTGACCAAACCTATCTTCCAGGTCATGCCACGGATCTTTTGCACTCTGTGAGTACAAGACACTCTCAGCAATTTCTTTGGAAAGTGAGTTGAGGAGCCAAGAAAGGACCATGTCGTTGCATCTTGCCCAAGCTCTTTGAAGGCCAGAATCTGCATCTGGAACAACTAGTGTTCCATCAATGAATCCTAGCTTGTTCTTAGCGGATAAAGCTATGACTACGGCTCTCCTCCACCCACCATAACCTCTGCCATCAAACACTGAGGAGACCGGGTTCATTCTTGGGTAGTCTGAAGGATGGAGGTAGTAGGGATGAGCTGAATCAACTAAACCAATACCACTAGAACCAGCTGATACAGAAGCTGTTGGAACAGGGGGAGAGGAGATGAGTGTATCAGTGGTTTGTGAATTTGTTCCCATTGTAAATGAGAAAAGAAGTTGAATTTGAATAATAAAAAGAAACGTGGCTTGAAGCAGATCAGCACTGCTCTAATACCATGACAGAATAGGAAGAGGATAGATTGAGAAAATTCTCTTTTCTGTATTGAATGAATGAATATAGTGTTGTACAGAACGTTGTTTATATACAACAAGAATGGAATCTTCAAAATAACTACTTATGCTACGTGTCCCTAATTTATTAGCTAAGCTATAACAAACTAAAGGATAAGTGCAAATAAGCAAAACAATATTTACAACCTAAATCTGAAAGACTTCTCTCTACAGCTTTCTCATAGGCCCAAGACAAAATGGGCCCAAGACGAAAAAAGGCCCAACACAGAAATGAAATGGCTGGAGCCCAATTTTCCAAACCCATATTATGTTGTATCGTTCAGACATATCTATCTTCAGACAAGAACTAACCTAATCCCTTTCCTTAGAGACTTTGAGAACCTTCTCCATTAAAACTCCATTGTTGCCATTATCATTTATAACAGTGATTTGGATAAAAAGTTAAGATAGTTATAAGAAAAATAATTTATGTTCACACGAATTAAAAGTTAAGATAGTTATAAAAAAATTAATCTATCTTTACACGTGAGGATAGTAATTTTTCCCCCTTTTTGATGGAAAATGTTTTCCTCTTGAAAAATGATTTTCAACATACCAAACACAGCCTTAAAAAAGGGAAGCTAGTTGGAATGCTTTGCTCCTCACTGTCTGTCCCATCCTTCTTGATCTTCTTTCCCACTACAAATCCACAAAGTTGATAAAGTTTGTGGATTTGTAGTCAATTTGTTCAAGAAAAGGGGAATTTGGAGGATTAAAACAAAAAGAAAGTAAAGTTATTGTAGAATTAATGTTGAACTACATATATCAAGAACAAAAGATGAACAATCACTACTGAACTATGCAATTAAATTTGTTTTATTATAGGAGTACCTATTTAAAATCCAACTTTATTCATGTATTAGAAAGTGGTCCAATTAGTTTCTTGGTAGGTCCCAAATATTTGTTTGAAAGCTGCAAATGAACCTTAAAACCTGGAGGAATAAGTTGACTTTAGTGGCTGCATAAAAGCTTAAAAGTGCTCAAAAGCCAAACTTGCATATGTTAAGGCTTCTTTTGTTTTCCTGCATACAAGTTGTCACACACATATATATCTACCTTCTTCTCTTTATACAAAAAAGGGCACCTCAGTGCACTAGGTTTTCGCTATGCGTGGGAACCGAGGATGGGCTAGACCACAAGGGTCTATTGTACGCAGCCTTACCTTACATTTCTACAAGAGGCTATTTCCACTACCCGGACCCATGACCTCCTGGTCACATGGCAGCTAACTTTACCAGTTACGCCAAGGCTCCCCTTCAGAAAATTCCAAAAAAAAAAAAGGGAAATGCAAACGAAGGATTATTAAACTGAAAGAAATTAAAACTAATACTACTAATAAGACAAACTTCAATGCAAATGTAGTTTTGGTGAATCACTTAAACTCCATTTTTGGCATTTGATGATGATGAATAAAGCAATGAGGAAGCAGAGAAGCTTGTGTTATTGCTCTTTGGATACAAACTTCTTGCTTTCTCTCCTGATGAAGATGTTGCTAAGACACCCTTTGAGTTCTTATTTTCTTGTGTATCAGTTGCTGGAGAGCCCTTAAGTAAAACATCAACCTTTGCATATTCTTCCCTTTCATGTTTGATTTCCTTTAGCATTGCTGCTACATCTTTCATTGTAGGCCTTTCATCAGGAGAGGAATTTACACACAATAGGGCTACTCCTAATGCTTGTAACATTTCCTCGATCTCTGATTCTGGTCTCGAATGTAGACTTGGATCGAGGACCTCGATTCCTCCCCTTTTCAGTCTTACCCAATCCACTAGATGGACTCCGTCAGGAATTGTTGGATCGATTGGCTGCTTCCCTGTCAAGACTTCTAACATAACCACTCCATAGCTGTAGACGTCACTCTTCTCAGTGATCTTCATCATATAGCCATATTCTATAAAGAAAACGAACAACATTAGTATACTTAGGTCAATGATCAACAAGAATTACTGTTGTTCTTCTCGGAAAGTTAATAAATGCAATGTGCAATCAATGCTTATATAATTAAGCGACAAGTTTATTAGGAGCACGTATTGAACTCAGAACAATATACAAGGAGTAATGAAAACGATGACTTGAATTGTAATTTGACATGAAATAAGGAAATCTTTACCAGGAGCAATGTAGCCATAAGAACCAGCAATTGTATTGGAGGACCGGCCAAAATCACCATCATTGACGAGTTTTGCAAGGCCGAAGTCTGCAATGTAAGGCTCAAACTCAAGACCAATGAGAATGTTGTTGGCCTTGATGTCTCTGTGGAAAATTGGAGGGACACAGTCATGGTGCAAGTAGGCAAGCCCTTGTGCTGCCCCGAGCAATATTTGGTATCTCAATTCCCACTCCAAAGAGTTACCGCTCCTCTCATGGAGAAGACTTCCTAAGCTCCCATTTGGCATGTAATCATACATGAGCAATCTTGTGCTTCTGTTCCAACAACAACCTAGGAATCGAACAATGTTCTTGTGTCGAATTGAACCAAGCGTCTTAACTTCTGCAGAGAAGGAATCCCGTACTCCACACTTCTCATCATTGCATCCATTAGTTGAAGCCATGGTAATTGGCCAAAGCTTCTTCACTGCTATAACCTCGCCATTGTTCATATCTGCACGATAGACAACCCCGGAGCATCCCTTTCCGATGACATTAGTATCCACTAGGCACCTTAGTATTTCTTCTACTGAAAAATTGAGCTTCTGGAATGGAGTGAACTGCCAAGCCCAAGAATCTCCCATCTCTGAATCATCATCCCTTCTCATCGTCCTTCGTGCTCGAATAATAGCAATAGTTCCCATGATCACCATTGCTATTGTCATGGTTACTAGCAATGCAATGGCTAATTTGAGCTTCTTTGACCTTTCCTCATCATTTCCATTTTTAGCTACTCCCACTCCATTGATATTGCTAAGATAACACGACGGCCTGCCAAATGAACATAGCCCTTCATTTCCATCAAGGTCTGATGCTGGTAACTGTCGAAAGAGCTTATTATCCGGAAGATATCCAGTGAAGTTGTTGTATGAAACATTTAACGAGACTAGATTATCGAGCCTAGCTAGTGGATTCAAGTTTCCTTCAAGCTTGTTGTGCGAAAGATCAAGTATCGACAGCTTGCTTAATGCTGAAATTTCAGCAGGAATTGGACCTGTCAGTCCATTGTAACTAAGGTTGAGAGCAATTTCAAGAGACTCAATTTTCCCTAGCTCCATTGGTATGCTACCCGAGAGCTCATTGCTGCTAAGATCAAGCAATTGGAGACTCGAACATAGGCCGATAGATGGAGGTATCGAACCCGAGACCAAGTTCTTGCTGAGAATCAGCTTGTTCAAGGACACAAGACGGCCAAAACTAGCCGGAATAGGCCCCCCGAATCTGTTATTCGAAATGTCCAAAACTTGAATCCCCGATAGAGAAGACAGAGTACTGGGCAGGGGACCATCTAGTATATTGTTGTTAAGGTCTACCATTTGCAGTTCAGTGCAGCTTCCTATCTCATCAGGAACCGGTCCAGAAAGTCGATTTCCAGACAAATCAAGAAAGTTTAAGCTCTTAAGACCCCCAATTTCTTTAGGAATTCCACCAGCAATCCGATTGTTTCCAAGTCTTAACCTCACTAATGAGCTACAATTTCCAATTTCTTGAGGTATCGAACCCGAAATATCGTTAGAAATCAAGAGTAGCTTAGTAAGATTTTTCAATTGGAACAAGCCAGGAGGAATGTTACCAGTGAGTGAGTTATGTGACAAGTCCAATGCCTGAAGGTTACTACAACTAGCCAAAGTTAAAGGCACACTTCCTTCAAGTTGATTATCCCAAGCAAAAAACACAATAAGATTAGTCAAATTCCCTAACTCAGAAGGAATCAACCCTGAAATCTGATTTGTGTCAAGCTGCAATTGCACAAGGCTTGTGGCATGTGAAAGAACAGAAGGGATTGAACCAGAAATATTATTGTTACTAAGCATAAGTTCTTGTAACTCAATAAGATTACCAAAAGATAATGGTATACTCCCAGATAAATAGTTCAAAGACAAATCAATCATACTCAACTTAGTACAATTCCCAATCTCTAGTGGAATAACACCAACAAGATTATTTTGCCAAAGGAACAATTTTTGTAAGTTTCTAAGCTTCCCTATCTCAGATGGGATTGAACCAGAAAGACTATTTTCATACAAATACAAGTTAACAAGCTCAGAACAATTACCTAAATCAGGAGGTATCTCACCAGACAACATAGTAGTGTAAATAGACAAAGTCTCAAGTTTCTTGAGCTTACCTAATGAAACAGGCAAAGAACCAGATATTCTTGTATCTGCTAAGCCTAAAACTGTCAAATTCCCACATTCACTTAACTCATTAGGGATTTTTCCAGTAATATCTTTGTTCCCTCCTGCCCTTAACACTTGAAGATTTAACAACAATCCTAGTTCACTTGGTAAAGTTCCACTAAGTCTGTTATCAAAAAGGAGAAGGTTTTTTAGGCTTTTGCAATTGGCAAGCTCAACTGGGATTTTTCCAGTGAGTTGATTTGAGTTCAAGATCAAATCTTGAAGGTTTATAAGGTTTCCAATGCTTGAAGGGATGGACCCCACAAGACCATTTGAGCTTAAATCAATGGTTACAAGTGAAGAACAGTCACCAATTTCAAAGGGTAGGGTACCAGTGATATTAGCATCAGAAATGACAAGTTTTTGAAGGTATTTATATGAAGAAAGATTTGTAGGCAAAGGAAGCTCAAGATGAATAGACTGAATATTGATTTCTGTTATAAAACCTTGGGAGTTGCATGTTATAAAAGACCATTTGCATGGATTATTGTCAAGAATAGTCCAACTTGAAAATGGTGCAGAAGAAGAAGAAGAAGAAGAAGAAGTGAAGAGGGTGGCAAAGAAAAGAATGAAAGAAAGAGAAAGAAATATGAAAGAAGAAGAAGAGTTGGGATTGGGAGAAGATTGTCTTCTCGAGCTTGGCATAGAGATAGACATTTTGCCTCAATTTCCAAAATTTTCTTCTCGGGTTTGCAATTGCATATCGAAACAACTATAAACTCTTTTCTTGGGTTTTGCTTTGTTTTCTCTCTTCTCCTCTATCTCTGTGTTAGAGTTTACTACACTCTCTCTCTCTTTATTTTCTTGGTGTCTACTCAAACTCAAGTTAAGTTTAAAAACTTGAAGAGTTGTGGTTTTTTTTTTATTGTTGATGTTTGCAGAATAAAAATAATATTAAGGAAAAGAGAGAGGATTAAACAAAGAGGAAAATGGTTAACAAATCAACCAAGCAAGGAATACCTTGAGATTGGCACCTCCTTCTGCACCTCCCACCATCTTCCCCTAGGATCCCTACAATTCCCACCACCCTTAATCAAAAATAACTTTTTTTTAATCAGATTTTTGCACTTGTAACAGTGCTTTGATTAATGTTTGGTTTTGGAAAAAAGACAAGTCAATTTACCTATAGTTTGAAATATTCACTGAGGTAATAGGAGTGGGTGTTTGTCTGGAATATAAATGAACTCGAATTAATGTTAAACCTAGTCTAAAATCCATATTTGCTTATAGTCAAGATTGACCGTTTGGGTTAAAATCCTTCTTTCCTATATATGTACGTGTGTGTTTTACATAAATATAGTGGATTTACATAAATATATATCTTCCATGAAACGGTGTCATATGATATTATTTAATTTCAATAATTATTTCCTCTATTGAGTATATATATATATATATATATATATATATATATATGTGTGTGTGTGTGTTCTAGTCTAGTCTGACAATAAATTTTGCTGAACTCACGAACATATTGTATCCGCTACCGTAATATATGTTAAAATACCATGGTATAGCCAGTTTTCACACTGGTCAATGAAAAATAGCCAGCGTTTATCAAGTCAATGAAAAATAGCCATTATTTTGCTGCAACAAGGACCGGTCCAGTATAATATACGGGAGTTCTGGTGCATTTGTGTACGAACTCCAGCATATTATGCTGGACCGGTATACTTTGCTAACTCCTGTAAAATTTGCGGGAGATTGGAGCACCAGTGCTCCAAACTCCAGTATATTATACTGGACAATTATACTTGCTGGAACTCCCGTAAAATTTGCGGGCGTATTTTTCCGGATTTTGAACAGTGTTTTCGCTCAGATTTAAAGTGGCTAAATTTCGATGACTTTTGAAACTTGGCTATTTTTCAACGACCAGTAGTAAATCTGGCTATTTTTGAATTTCTCCCGTAATATATATGTGTGAGTAAACATATGAATACACACAAATAAATACATATTTACATATTAATTACTAATAAAAAGAGGTAAAGCTGTTGTTATGTGATCATGAGGTCACGTGTTCATGGAAATAAGTTTTTGCAGAAAGGAAAGGTAAAATTGTCTACAGTAAACCTTTGTGTTCTGGTCTTTCTCCGTTACCCTACACAAAACGAAAGCTTAGTGTACTGAACTGCACTTTAATTTACCCATACTACTGGTAAAAGGAGAGGGAGGTGCGTGGATGGGTCACGAGCAGAGGGGAAGAGACAACAGCTGGAGTTTGATAAGTAAACACAAGAGAGTGCAGTAATGACTAATGACTTAATCTGAGAGAGAGAGAGCAGTTAGCGCCAAACCCAAGTCAGTGTTTGTGTCAGTATTCCCCATAAATTAGTTTTTTAATTATTTATGGCTGAATTGAAGACAGTGTACTCTTTTATTTCTTGATGTTGTCCTTAATTATTTATGGCTATAAATTCAGATATCAGTTACGTTTTGATTGGCTTTTTTCAGCTTCCCAATTATCTCTTGCCATTTCAAGATGGGATTTGGTCTCTTTTATCTTGAAAGGAAGTGCTCAATATAAAGAGGAAAATTGCATTAAATAATTTACTACTCACTCCGTCTCATAATATGTATTGTGATTCTCTTGTGCATGTCCCTTAAGAAAGAATAATTTTTGACTATTTTATCCTTGTTAAATGTTTTCTCAATTTATGTGTCATCTCTATTAATGACATTATTCATATTTTTACTAAATGTGCATGCAATTGATTATTAAGGGTAAAAAAATAAAAAATATAATTAATTTTGTCTTGAACTTCTAAAATGACAAATAATTTGAGACAGCTATTTTTAATAACCACGACACATATTATGAGACGAATGGAGTACAGTTTTTCACAAATTCGGCACAATAACTAACAACACCTCTTCTACTTTGAAGAATAATTGATATATGTGTTTTACTCACTTTCCTCCTCTCAATAAAAAATATCATTGACTTTTATTTGTAATTTGACACTTATAAATTTGATTGTATTGCTCTCTCTCTCTTTATTTAAGTAATAACATTATTGGATCAAATATCTTAAAATAGAAGCAATGGATGGAAATATATTGGGGACTCTCATCCTCTGATGTACTGCACATTCAATAGCCCTAACATGGCTTCCCAACAATTTTAAGAATTATTTCTCCCAAATTTCAGAATATAGAAAAAATTTAATTTGGGATTATTATTTACCAAACCTAAAAGTATTTTCCAAATGAACTTTGCTAGAATTTTTTTTTTTTTTCCTTTTCTATCTTTTTTAGATAAATATAATCCCTCCACATAATCTAATATCTCAGAGTGATCATAGTATGAAAAAAACTCCAAATAGGAAACGTTGTATACTTTAGTGATCATATACTATACAAATTCGAATTAGTCGGATCCTTATACTAATCTATTAGTGAACTACACTCTTTCTATTGTTTTAATTCTGTGTCATGATAGAAATATTTTCTTTTTCGTATTTACCCTTGGTTTAACGAGCAGAGAATAAATCATGTAACATGATAACCAAACAAGTAAGGTCACATGTAAGGCCATGCGTATAGGCGTGCCATCTTTGGACAACATTCATTATTTTCTCAACTTATTACATCAACTATATAGTTAATTAAAATATTTAAGTATTTTTTATTAACTGTTACCTGTATTCGAGTTACTATTAAAACTTAACCAACGCGTATAGGGGCGGATACACCTTGTCCCAAATTGTATCGCATGATACCGCTTCGTTGAAATTTCTTACTCCATATTAAAGATGTATATATAGATAATAAGTAAAAAAAATATTAGATATAAATATACAAAATGACAGCATTTACTGTAACGACTCGGACGGTCGTATCGAGAGTTGTAGCCTCGTTACCCCATTTCCTTCTTTTTTTGTGTTCTACAGCTCTATTATGACTTATCGGGTTAGTTAATTCGGGTCCAGAGTGATTTCGGAGCGAATTGAGACACTTAGTCTCTTAATTGAAAGCTTAAGTTGGAAAAGTTGACCGGATATCGACTTATGTGTAAACGGCCTCGGGTTTGAATTTTGATGATTCCATTAACTCCGTTAGGTGATTTTGGACTTAGGGGCGCGTCCGGATTGTGTTTTGGAGGTTCGTAGTAGAATGTGGCTTGAATTGGCGAAAATTAGAATTTTGAAAAGTTTGATTGGGAGTGGACTTTTGATATCAGGGTCAGATTGGATTTTTGGAAGTTGGAGTAGGTTCTTGGTGTCATTTATGACTTGTGTTCAAAATTTAAGGTCAATCGCACGTGATTTGATAGGTTTCGGCGTCGTTAGTAGAATTTGGATATTTTAAAGTTCATTAGGCTTGAATCTGCGTGTAATTCGTGTTTTTGATGTTGTTTGAGGTGATTTGAGGATTCGACTAAGTTCGTATGATATTTTGGGACTTGATGGTATATTTGGTCGAGGTCCCGGGGGCCTCGGGTGAGTTTCGGGTGGTTAACGGACCATTTTTGGACTTTGGTTGATGGTTGATATCTGTTGGTGTATTTTTCTGGTTTCCTCTTACACGTTCGCGAGAGGAGTCTCGCGTTCGCGAAGGGTGTTTGTGAGCTGGGAGATTTTGTCATTCACATTCGCGAAGGAGAGGACGCGAAGGTATGGCTATGTGTGCATCGCGAACGCGGGAGTGGTGTCGCGTTCGCGAAGAGGAGTGAGGTAGCTGGGGACCCCCCAGCCTTTTGGTCTACACGTTCGCTAGGCATGGGTTGCGTTCGCTAAGGTCAGAGTTGGTAAAGCATCTCATTCGCGAAGATTTGGTCGCGTTCGCAAAGAGTTAAGATGAGAGGCAGTCAAATTAGGCTACGTGAACGCAACAGGACGGTCGCGTTCGCGAAGAAGGAAATCTGGGCAATAGTATTTAATTCAGAAACGAGGGTTTGAATCCATTCTTCATATTTTGAGCTAGAGACCACGGATTTGGGCGACTCTTGATGGGATTTTCGTGGAGTTGATTGGGGTAAGTGATTCTTACTTGGTTTTGGCTATATTCCATGATTATGTCTTTAATTTCATCATCTGATTTGTGATATGGGGTGGAAAATTGGGGAAAAAGAGAAAGTGTTCTTGAGTTAGATTTTTGAGGTTTTGAGTGGGATTTGGTTATCGGATTTGAGTAATTTTGGTATGGTTAGACTCGTGAGTGAATGGGCTTTGGGTTTTGTGACTTTTGTCGGATTTTGAGACGTGGGCCCGAGGGCCGGGTTCGGGCCGATCTCGGATTTTGGCCATAATTTAGTAGTTTTCTTGTGGAATTGATCCCTTTAGCCTATAATAATTATATTCTACTGCTTGTGGCTAGATTCGGGACGTTTGGAGACCGATTTGAGAGGCAAAGGCATTTTAGAGTAGAGTTTGGCCCGGAGTAAGGTAAGTAACACTTTCAAACTTTGTTCTGATAGTTCGAAACCCTGAACTATGTGTTAGTTGACTGGTACTGAGGTGACGCACATGCCAAGTGACGGGCGTGCAAGCGTGCACCGTGAGAATTGTGACCTGGTTGGTTCCATGGCACTGTATAGTGATACTATCTTGTTGATATCCGTGTTTTCATCATGTGATAAAGTAATTGAGCTATCAATCATGCTAGATATCATGCTTTGGCTTTATGCAGGTATGGTTGGGACCCATAGTGGTCGTTTCTTGTTGTCACTTTACTGAATTTATTGATATTCCGTACTCAGTCATATACATGCATTTCATATCGTATCTCAGTCTCAGTTGTTATTTATTGATCCATCATATTATTGTTCCGAGCTAGTTTTCACGATATTTTGAGCCCATGAGTGAGACTGGAGATTTTGAGCCCGTGAGTGAGGCCGAGAGCCTGATTATG